TTGCCCCTCTGGCCTAGGCTGAGTGAAATACACGATTTGTGGAGGAGTTGGAAGTACTGGGAGGGAGGGCCCCAGGCCGGCACGCTCCCTCCTTTGCTGGTCACATCCTTCAGAGCCTCTGAGCTCCCTTCCCTGTGGCAGGAGATAATCCCTGGCCTCGGGCCCCACTGGCGCAGGAGATGCTGTCACACAGTGAGGCTGGCCCCTTAGCTTGCTTTTCTGTTGTTTCAGAATCTTTTTCGCTGTTGTCTTCATTTGGAGTTGGAGTGCTGGCATTTCCTAAAAGGATGTTTTTCTGTAGCCAGGCCAGCCCAGATAGCTGAATCTGGGCAAAATGTGTGTCGCTGGTTGCCCCGGGCTCTGAGGGGGTCGGGACAAGGACAAAGGGACAAGGACAAAGTGTGTGTGCCAGAGTCGGGCAGAATCGGCCCCACGTTAACAGTTAAACGGTTTTTCCAAATGAACAGCTGTGGATCTTAAGGGATCATCCATAAAAGGGGTTGTGACTCAATATTGTGTCACCTTTCCAAGCAGGGCTTTGGTTTGTTCGAGCCTGGGAGCCGGGTGGCTTGTTTGCCCCATCTCCTCAGTTCCTGTGGTTCTCATTTCCCTCCAGGTTGTTATTTCCATGATAAAATAGAATTCCATGGTTGTACAAATAGACTTCCATGTGTGCACGCCTGCAGTGCTTTGGGTCTTATTCCTCACAACTGGGGGACTGATTCCAGTTGTGTGTGTGAGCTGCTGAACAGGGTATCAAATTCAGAACTGAATGTCACTGAAGTTCTTATTTACATTTTTAATTTCCATCAGAATAAATAGATTTTAAGAACTGCTTCGAGATAATCAGCTGCTTAATCGTCACTTGCCATTAGAGGCCTCTTACAAATGAGAAAGTTCCATTAGCAGTAAAAACCCCACTGTACTAATGTTCCTAAAATGTGAGTCTAAAATGGCAACTTCAGTATTTCTTGAAAATAGTCACTAATTTTAATATTTCTCTCTGGAAATGTAGGCCAATATACAGATGTGTTTTTATAAAATGGGAACTTAAGATCCTAAATCAGGGACTGAGATTTTTTTGTGTGCAATATTAGCACAATGATAATAAAATGGAGCGTTTGATAGAGGGCTGTGCTGCAGCATTTAGCACCCATGGTAATTACCTGAGTGTTCACAAACTCGAAGAGCATGTTATGAAATTTCAATAACTCGGGAGAAACCTGCACTCTTAAAGATCTTGTGAGATGAAAAATATGCCTTTCAAAAGTGCAAATATCACGATTAAGTAGTTTTAAAGAAGTACTTCTAATAGTAAAAATGCAGTTGACTGCAGGATTGAAAGAATTTTCTACTTTTTTTTTAAGCTGCCATAGAGAAAATACCTTTTTCTTCTTTATTTTTCCCTCCTCTTGGTCTGGTGCTGCATCCAGATCCATTTGAGAAAACTCCTACCTGTAGTTCCAAAGGTTCTGATGAAAAGATAAGTTTCCCAAAAATCTTTCCTCCCACTCATGACCAGTGACATGCATTTGGGGTTCAGCTTTCGACAGTCATTCTTTGAAAAGCACGTGAAAAAATTGTGCAGTGTATTCTCAGAAGCACAATTTTGCCGTAACTGGAATAGAAGTTTTAGGAGTCACAGTCTCAGAATCTGTACGTAGTTGGTGTAATTTTTAAATTAATCCTAGAACAACTTTCTGGAATGTGGTGCTTCAAATAGATGTGAAGTTTGGGTTTATTTGTTGAGAAAAAAGTTATGTAATTTTTGGTTTGGATAGAAATCATGTCTCTCAAAAAAATAATTAAAGATGAATCTTTTTAACTACAAATATCAGGTAATACTTCTGAAAACAGGCTTCAACAGTGTTTTGTTAGGTAAAGGAAAGTTCTTAACGAGTGTTGTGCTATTAGAATGCAAGTAATGTTTTTTACCGAATTATTATGATTTTAATTAATTTAGGTTGTTACCAAAGGCTAGTGCAATTTTTTGGAAGTCTGTTCTCAGTTTCAATTCCTTGTGAAACATTCAATTTTAGCAGAGAATCAGAATGAACTGAAAATTTGGTGGGTAGGTGATGTCGTGTTAATTATTTTGACAGACAACTTCTAGTTTCTTTAATTGAAGTCCTTAAGCAGCTCACTAAGATCTACATTTTTAAGCCTTTAAGACGGGACCACAGGTTGTGTGTTTGGATTTTTGTGTGTTTTGGCAGACAGGAGACTGCAGAGAGCAGATGAGCTCAGTTCTGTTGTGTACGAAGGTCCTTTTATTTTCTTAGCCTTTCATATTCTTTATTTGAAAGACAATAGGCTTGATTCTCAAAGGCAAATGCAAGGACTAGGTTTTAGATTGTTCTACAAAGAGGTTTATCTTCCAGCATCTTCCCTCCTAAAGTGGGATGTGTAAAGTCTGTGGTTTGCATCTGGAGCCCTGAAAGTGCGGCAGCCCTTTGAAGGTCTATCTTAAAGTCCTTACGAAGTGACACAGAATTATGATGCAAATCCGTTCCTGCTGCCCGTGTACCTGCCTCGGTTTGGGTGTGACCCTTGAAAATTTACGCCGGAATCTTCCCCCTCCTCCGCTGATAATAACGGGGTTCGGGGTTGAACTTCACTCTGTGTGTGTGGGGGATACCACTCAGTTGGAATTAAAATTAAAACTGATTTCTAAGACTTTTAGATCTAAGATTACATCTACACTTTGCATATTAGGTGAGGTATATGTTAGCTGGTTGATAAAACGATTGAATATTGTCAAAAGAGTACAAGTAACTGATTCTGTCCCACTGAAATGGGATTTCAATAATTTTATTGCTATTACTGTGGATTCATTATTTTATAGAAGTTACTGTGGTTCATTTTACTCCTTATTTAAATTTATGCACATTTTTTTCAGTAGTAAAGTCTCCGTGAATGTGCAAGATATTGCAGAATTGAATGAATAAATCCTCGCATTCAGGATATTACAGTTCTTTAAAATAGCTTTAATAGGACGAATATTTTGGACAAAGAAAAAAATGGTTGAATACTTTTAGTGGAAAAAAAAATTAAAATAGATTGTTGGTGCACCAGGATCTCTCCAAGCTCTCTGAACTTGGTTTTCACACCTTTGCTGTGCAGTGCTAACTGGGCACTGACCGAGTTCAGTTTACAGAAAAAAACGGAGGCGTCTGAACGACGATTCCGTTAATCATTCATCTCTCATCATTTAAATATTCCTTATTTCATAACCATGCAGGAGTTTAAAAGTAAACTATTACCTTTCAGTAGCTTTTCCGGGCTTCTAAGTGCCATTTGAAAAAGAACAGAAACCTCAAAATATAACTCCCTTCAGAAGCTGTGACTCGTGCTGCTCAGCGAGTCCCCAGGAGAGGTTTACCACGAGCAGTCAGCGGCGCAAGGGGCCGTTCGGACGCTGGAAGTCGCCTGCAGAAGTTGACTTGGTTTTGTGTAAGATGTGTGATAGACCTGCTTTAGTCTCTGCTTTTTTTCTCTCTGAAATTGTACCAGTCCAGGCACAGGGTTTACTCACCCCTTTGTACCGTCGCGATGGTGAATCATGAGGGGAGCAATCTTTTTCTTGTGAATATGTTCAAAAAAAATCAGTTGCCCCTGGCTATTGAAGGAGATGGACTTAGGGGAAGAGACTGAGCTACTTTGTTTCTTCAGTCTGTGTAGTTTCATGAATTAAGAAAGCTGTTATTTTATTTTTAATTGGGTTTTAGCCTGGAAAAGGGAATATTGTGTCAAATGAGGAGACTGAGGAAAATAATGGTAGAGATGTAGCCCTCCTGCAGTCACTCAGAGAGGAGATGATGAGTTTGTAAAACTCTGTGTCTATCTTACTGTCTGAAGCGTGTTTCACTAAATCCTCCCTGAGGAAGTTGTGTAAAGGATCAAAACTGAAGCACTGAAATTCAGGTGTCTTTTTGAATGTTAGAAGACCATAAGAATTTCTTTGCACAAAAATAATTAAAATTCAGTTAAAATTTCTCTTTGAAATTAAAATGGTCTGTTTCAGTATTGGGATCTCTCCCTTTTTTAATTTTTTTCTTTTAAGGTGGTGTGACAATTACTAAAGCCCCCTGGGCTTCCTGCTGCATAGGGCAGTGTACAGATATCAAGAAAAGTTCCCGAGGTTGTTTTTGGTTAAGGATGGGACAGGTTGTGGTGTCTGCAGCATGGAGGTTGGAGGCTGCTGAGACAGTGCTTAGTTCCCAGATTGTCTCCGTGATCTTAATAAGTTTAATTTAAGGACAAGGTGTTCAGTAATGGACTGTAGCTTTTGTGCAAGTCATCTGCCATAAACCGTGGCATGATTCAGAGCAGGGTTCATAGTTCCTTCTTTGTTCCTTTGTTAATCACTGACTTGTGGGAGGCGCCTGCAGAATTTGCTAATGCATTCTTTTTGGGTAAGGATGACGCACAGATTGTCCTAATAAGGACTTAGTTTGAGAAAGGGGCCGTCTTCTTTGAGGAGATAGGGGCAAGTCACAGGGCGAGCAGTTTCTTTTTTAACTGAGGGATGACACAAGCACAAGTCATTTCCTTATTAATCGGTTCAAACCAGTTCTTACAGGAACTGCTGGTGATAAATGTGGGACTTCTGAGAAGTCATTCATTTGATTCTCAGCACTGCACCAGTGCACAGCCTCGGCTGGCTTCACCCGGGCTCGAAGGAAATGCTCCAGCTCACAGCTTCTTTCTGTTACCAGCACTGGGGTCACTGGTTTGCTCTCAAATATGTTTTTTAAGCAATTTTTGAGGATCTGGGGAAATATGTCCCTTTCAGAAGTATCCGATAAAAAGATGAATACTCTTTATTTTGTGGTTATCGTGGTTTTCTCAAGTAGCAATACCCTTCTGAGCTATAGCTCAGTCTGAACTTTGTTCTGTTTGGGTCAAAGTGGTAAGTTTAAAAAAAAAAAAAATTTTTTTTGTGTTTTTTTTTTTCCTCCCCTATTTTGTCTTGTTCTCTGGGATGAACTTTGCATCAGTGCTATTCCAAGTATAGGTCCTTCTCTTCAGAAGCCATTTCAAGAATATTTGGAAGCTCAGAGGATAAAACTTCACCACAAATCAGACAGTGGCGTGCCACAGGTAAGAACCTCTCTGCCTCTCTTTCCCATTAATTTTTTTCCCTCCTCTAGCTGTCTTTAGACTTGTCAGGCTTACCGATGTGACTCTGGCTTTCTGTGATCGTTGTTCAAAGATTCGCACTGTCTCAGGGAGCAGATAAAAAAAAATACATAATTTTAAAAGCAACCTGGTAATTAAAAATAATACTGTCTGAAACTGGACTTATACCGATGTAACTCTGCTTTTCTGTGGTTGTTCAAAGATTCGCAGTGTCTCAGGGAGCAGATAAAAAAAATACATAATTTTAAAAGCAACCTGGTAATTAAAAATAATACTGTCTGAAACTGGACTTAAGCCTCTTAGAGAATAAAGAAAACAGTAAAGGAAATCCAGTGGCACATCTTGCCTCTACATTAGCTGTCTGTTTTGAAAGAGAAATTTAAGCAGAAAACAGTTGCATTCACATGTGCAATGGTAACAGACTGTGTGCAGCATCAGTACTTCAGAAGCCAGCAGGATCTGTGGCTTAACAGCCAACAGAGAAACAAAATCTCCAAGCCCTTACTGTTGGAAAGGAGAAGTGAAGGATGGTGTCTGGAGCTGGGTGTGAAGGGGCCGAAGTGGCCTTCCATACAAAAAAAGTGTTTTAAACAACAACAAAAGTATTCTGAAAAACATGCCCTGAATTGAATTTTCAGTGGGGACAGAGCAACTTTGACCTGAAATTCCTCAGGATACTAAGGCATTTTTCAGATAAAATCTATTCATCTATCCCACGTTTCTAATTCACATTTATCATACATTAAAAGTATTAACTTTTAACACTTGTAGCTCTTGTAAAGGTTTCTTTGCCCTGTTCTTACCACGAAAGAGACTAAGTTAGGGAGGATCAGGCTGGAATAACTTGATTCCTTTTCTGCACATTACAGTACTTTTTGTGCAGTGCATTGCTGCCCTCCTTTGACCAAACCCCACAGGCTGAGAGCGGCCGGTGGCAAAGGCTCGGGGTGGGACTGCCGAGGTCGCCCCATTAACTTCTAGTGACACCAGAGGAATCGGATACTAATTGGAAGATAACACAGTATAGGCAGTTTAGGAAAAACCCATTTGTTACCCAGTGACCTCATTGTTTTCTTTGCAATGAACGTGACAGGGAATGACAGTCAGAGGTTGCTAATTCGGAACACTGTGAATTATTAGCAGAGACAAAACAATACTAGGAATAATAAATCACTTCACTAGCACACCAGTAACGATCAGGGATCCATCGTCTGCCCCGCAGTGTATTTGGCAAGTCCTCCTGCATTGTCTTTCAAGGGACTGCAGTCAGCTTTACAGAGGGACCTGCAGGAATCCTGTCAGCTTGCACTTGGTTCCTGTTTTTCATTTGATAAATTACATAATTAAAAAGCAGTGAAGCTCTTCCCTTTCGCCCAGAAAATGGAGAATTCTCCATCGAGCTGTCCACTAATCTTCATTTTCCTCCTTCTGTTTTGTCTCTTCAGGGGGAAAACTGGCTATCCTGGATGTTTGAAAAATTGGTGATTGTCATGGTTTGTTATTTTATCTTATCTATAATCAACTCCATGGCCCAGAGCTATGCCAAACGACAGCAACAGAAGACCTACTCTGAAGAAAAAAACAAATGAGCTGGAAAAACAAAACCTTGGAATGGGTATTAGCAGACAGGAGAAATGACACATCTTTCCATACCTTTAAAAATCAGCATTATTCAAAACGGGGGAAAACTTTTTAACATCAAATTTTCAACAATAACAAGTTTTTATTTAATTTTGAAAGTAATTTGGATATTAGAGCAGACGTTTCATTGACAGACTTATAAATGTTAAGGTAAGATATCAATGCTTTACAGGTCTGAGTTGTTTTGTACAGGACAATGCGCTTAGATGGCGTTTAACACAAACACTGTCCACCCAAATTACTTCCAAACCCAACGATTTCATACTCTCCACTCCCTGATTTAACTTCAGACTGACCTAAGGGTAACTGTATTTTGAAGGGTGGCCGGTTTGCTTTCCCCATGACTCTCAAGACCATCAAGGTGTATATAAGTGGCTCCAGGTCGGGCGCAGGCTGTTGCATGTCCCTCGTGGTAAGGCTGTGCCGCCTGAGCTCTCGGTGTCCCACTGCATGGCACGTGCTCTCGGTTGCAGGAGCCACCCTCTTAAACTTCCTGATGTTAGCAGAGATGATTGATGTCAAAATGCTGAAGCTGACATTTTTTTATTCTGTATATTTAGAATGAAGTTAAGATAAAACTTTATAAAGTCATCTTTGATCATTCCAGAATTTCTTGTGTCAGTCTTTTTAAGCTGTTTCTTTCCCTCTCCACTTTTGTATGCTCAGTTTCTTTCTTAAGCCTTAATCCCATCAGCCGCATGCTTTATACTCATCCTTCCTGCACAAGTGGTGCTGAAACCTTTTGTTCTGTGTTTGGGGTTTTTTCTTAACAACTTCTTACCTGGCAGAAGGAAGTAGAAAGGATATGAGCTCTTGAAGCACGGCTCATTGGTTACAACAGGGAGGGTAAATAGCTAGCAGTGTTTGTTAGCAGGAACTCCTGGGCCGTTTGCCACCCCTGCCCAGGCAGGGAGGAGAGAGGGGGGAAGAGTAAAGACTCAAGCCAAAAGCAGAGGTGATGTCAAACCCAGCAATGATGCAGAGAACTTTAAGCTTTTGGAATCAGATATTTTAAAAACATTGTTAGGAAGCAGTGTGTGTTCCAGCTCTAATGTATGTGAAAGTTAACTAACATGAAGTTTTCCCTCTGTAGGAAGTAGATACTCACTCCATACCCATTCTGCTGCTACTATATGGAATGCTACTCTAAGGATTTTTGAGCTATTTTTAATTTTTATCCTAGGTGTAAGTAACAAGAATTAATTAGACTTTCAGTGTTATCAAATGGTAGCATGTGAGCACAAAGTAGGTTAGATCTTGCTCTGGCTTAGATTAGCTTTATCCCCGCGTTGGGGATCTGGAGCAGGGTGTGGGAACACGTTCTGTTCAGTCCTGCCTGACTGTCCTCTTGTGTCGCCAACGTCGTGACATCTCCATGGCACTACCATCCTGTCGGATAGCTTATCAGACTGATGTTGACTGTTGGATCTCATGGCAACAACAGTCGGTAGGCTGTCTGACATTTTGGTATCTTTCATCTGACCGTTTGCTCATCCATCTCCAACTTTTCATTCAACATCAACAGCATATAAATGTTCTAAGTTTAGATGGAAAGGAGTTCAGAAGTCGTGCAGTGCAGCAGTCTACGTAAGAAACGTCTTTTAAAGTCTCATCTCAGTTTTGTGTGAGGTTTGTGATGTTTTTCTTGTACATGTCCTATCTAATTGGAACAGTGGCACTGGAGGAATGGGGAGGCTTTTACAGGGACTTCTCTCCCTAGAGCTGCTGACTAACGTTAAACAGCTAAAAGTCTGAGTGCTGGGAGGAAGTACCAGATGGTTAAAAACACAAAGGCCGTTCATTTGCCCCTGTGGATTTTTAAAAGGTGAACAGTATTTCTTAATACTTGGCCTTAGCAGTTTTTTAACTTTTTGGCTTTAAATACGGTCTTTGAAAATAAAGTAGCCAAGAACTGGTTCTAATGGAATGCACACTGAAGTATCAAAGAGAACTGTAATTTCTTTACCTTTCTCAAGCTGTAGAACTTTAGTTTTGCACCGTGTAAGAGATCAGGACAGCAGTTTATAGCTGTTTGTGTCATTTTTCTTGAGGATACTCTGGTTAGTGAAGCAGCTGTTTGCTGCTTTCCCCAATTCTAGTGGCAGCTTTTTTCCCCTCGAATCTGCCATTCACCTTAGGGACCCTGGTAGTGTCCTCAAGCCTTTGTGAGAGTAAACGACATTTATGCCCTGCTGAGGTCCCTGTGTGCTGTCAGATTGGAATGAGGAGACTGTAACAGTGATTAAAAAGAAAAAAACCTTCTCCCTAGGGCCTGAGCCAATAAACACCTTTCTAAATGCTTTAGAGGTCTCATAATTATGCCTCCTCACCTACTGATCACTAGACAAACTGGAAGCTTTCTCCCACTTTTATTGCAATGTATGTTTACCTCCAGACAGTGCAAAATAGATATCTGTTGTTCTGCTACTCATGTTTGTGTGTCCAATGAGCTATGTTGTTATTTTGAAGCTTTCTAACACTATCTAAAGAAGGGACTGGACTACTTGCTTCTGCCTGTTCAGCTGCTGGGAGATAATGAGACCTGGTAAAAGGTAAAGAAAAATAACAGAAAGAGGAAAGTTCTACAAACCTAATGAGATTTGCAAATGTTTGCTTAAATAAACAAACAATTAACTGTTTCCCGGTGTTTATTTCAGCTGGATTGTTTCCTTTTCTGTGTATTGAGCTTGGTTGTTATACTGTGAAATTTGGTGTCCCAAGCATTCTACAGTGAGTGTGAATCTAGAAGATACATCTGCAGTTGTATTTTATGGCTTCAAAAAAAGGCCCAGAGCCTTTAGCATTTCATCTGAAAACATGTATTTTGCTCCCTTCATCCAACATTTCCTTTTGTTGCACAGTGGAAGCAGTCAGTCATCTGGTTGAAAGTGTTAGAGAAAAATCCCAAGTGAGCTCTCTTTCAAGAGCAACATCTTGTCACAGATCACTGTATTTTTAGCTGATTTTTTTTGCGTTTTAGACACTGAATAAAGTATCTTTTTTTCTTGGAATTGCTGAAAATCACAGGAAAGTAACAGCCCTCATAACAACTAACATCAAAGATGACTTTGAGGTGATAAGAGGTGCTTTTGTAGTTCCACCACCTGTGGAAGTGGCTGAATCTCTGCTCTCACCAGTGCAGCATAACTAGGAAGCAGAGCAGAGCGCTGGCTGTATTGCCAGCCCAGCAGCTTGGAGGAGCACAGCAGGGCTGAGTGAGGTCAGGTGGGACTGCAGCTGGTCCTCCTGGTTCTCTGCTTGCTGACTGCCTGGCCTGCAAGTTGTGTCCTTCAAGGGTGGTGTGAGGTGTGGGCCTGCTGGCCTGGCAGCCTCAACGTTCCCCATCAGGGCAGGAACTCGGATGGGTGCAAAGCTAAAACATCACACTGGGCTGTATCAGTCTGAGCCAAGAGACCAGCCCAGGCCCTGTCAGATGGAATCCCCCAGTTCCACACTTCCCTCAGCTCAGTCAAAGCCACCGGGACACCTCCTGCTCCCTGTCTCTGCTTGTAGTTCCCTCCGTCCTGGTGTCACGCTGTGTTCCTTGTTAAAGCAGCTCCCTCTGCAATCACCCAGCTGCCTGTTCATGCTAAGAGACACTTGTCATTGAGACTTGAAGATGGCTTAATGCTGTTCCAGAAAGTCCTTCCCTGCTGTGCTTTTGGGTTTCATGATTTAATTTGTTAGAATCAGCCTCCTTCTCACTGCAGGCAGTGCTAATTACAAGCACAAATGCTGTGGATGTTTCCCTGATTAGCAAGCACAAATATAAATATTAGTGAACAAAACGGATTGCAGATGTAAAAATAAGTGGTGATTGGGTGTGTTCTTTGGAGGTAAAAGTAATTCAGTTTTCTTTGAAGCAGATGGTTAAAAAATACTTTGTAATCAGCAGTTAAGAGGTTGAATGTAATTATATATATAAGGTAGTTGAAATTGCTTTTCCATGATTTCAAAATGCTAGGATTTTTTCCTGTAAATCTATACTTTTAAATTTACTTTTTTTTTTTTGTGTGGAAGAAGAAGAATCCCAGTAAGTACTTTGCCCAGCCTTCTGCAGAATGCAGCACTAAGTGGAGTGTGAAAAGGGGAGAGCAGTAGCCAGGGAGGACATCCTGCTGGGCTGCCACCCCTCGCTGAGCACCGGCTGGGCCAGGGTGAGGCCTGGGTGAACTCCTGTAACCTCCTCAGGAAAGGGGGAGCGAAGCAATCCCTCCCACCAACACCCTGCTAGTGCATTCACAGCTAGACTGAGGGTAAATATTTGCATACGCTTCTATGAGCTAACTTCTAAAAGGATTAGGCTGAAAAACTCTTTGAGCTTGCTGTGACTTCCCCAGTTCAAGTGTCCAGCCGAGGGCATGAAATGCTAGTGTTTGTTTCTTTAGCCTGTTGGTGCATCCACTCGGCTGTCACAAAAGGCAGTGACAGGCTGTGTGGGCAGTGGTGTGCAGGGCAGAGGCTGTGACAACCCGGGCCAGTGTCTGGAGAGTGGAAGGAGCTCAGATGCAGAAAGTGTCCGAGAGACGTCTGGCGGTGTCCTCCCAGAGAGGAGCCCAGTAATCTGCTGTGGGCTCCCTGGCATGTGCCAGGAATTCTGCAAAATGGTATTTTGGTGAAAAAAAAAAAAGCTGACATGCTGAATTTCAAGTGAAGAGGCTGTTGAGCTGTGAAGTCATCCAGCCTGTTCATTGCTAGTGATATTCAGTTGTGGTAAAAGGAACGTGAACCTGTGAAATGGGCCAGGCCTTGGTTTAGTTTGCCTTTTAACCTGCCCTTTATTGTGCTGGAGGGTTTTTTAATTCTTATTATTCACTCATGGGATGATTTGAAGAGCATTGCCTACATGAGCATTAAATCAGAGGTCATCTTTCTTTAAACCTCATTTGGCTAGCTGTTCAGATTCAGGTAAGTAAGCAGAGCTGCATCTCCTGTGCTTCAAGGGAGTTACTCCCAGCTTAATTGTTCTTCTAGTTTCCCAAGAAGCTTAAATGAGTTGCCCAGGCAGCTGGTAATAAGGAAACTTGCAGCTACTTCCTGATGAAAGGCAAGAGATAGGAGTTGTCAGCTCGGTGTATTGTTCCCTGCTCCGCAGGCCCCACCCTTCTCCCCTGGCCTCAGAGCCTGCTCTCTGGTGAGCACTGTGTGGCTCCTGCTTGAGGGGTCCTCTGAGGGCAGGGCTTTGTGTTTAGTATGTGTAATTTAAGGCATAATCCACCCGGCTTGGGTTTTCAAGGTATGTTTTGGTTTGGGTTTGTTTGGTTTTTTGTGGTGCTGATGTGATAGAGCACACCACTCAGGTCTGATTCTGCCTGCTCATGAGAGG